ACTCTGGAGAAGTGGGCCCCATCATCCAGGGACATGAGGAAGGTTTTGCAGGGCTCTCTTATCAGCAGTGACATCTCAGATCTCCTTGACATTATTCACCTTTCAGTTCATGACTGAGGGGACCCTCCTGAAATGCAGGATTCGGCCCCAGAATAAAGGGAAGGGAAAGGAAACTGCTCGTACTTACTGCCTGTTGGTCAGGCTTCCCCGGTGGCCCAGACAGTAAAGAATCCGCCTGCAATGCAGGAGAACTGGGTTCTATCCCTGGGTTGGGAAGATTCCGTGGAGAAGGGCATGGCAGCCCACTCCAGTGTTCTTGCCTGGAGAGTCCCATGGACAGAGGAGCCTGGTGGGCTACAGCCCATGGGATCGCAGAGTGGGACATGACTGAGTGACTAACCATTCTTTCACTTTCAGTGAGGCCTTTGGCACTTCATACCACCTAGTAGTTCACTAAAATCTTTGAAAGGTGAGACGTAGGGTGATCATCACCTTTACAGGAAGCTGGGCTTGGAGAAGTTAAGGGCCTTGTCCAAAGTGAGCATCTGGTGGATGCTGAGGCCAGAGGGTCAGACACACAGTGATGCCCTTTTTCACCCCCAGGTGGCCCCCAGGCATTGGGCTAAATGTCAGGGGAAGAATCTGTCCCCAGAGGGTGGAGGTGGGGCAGGGAACCCCAGGGCTGGGAGGAGCTGGAGGAGACAGGAAGACCTGTCTCTGCTCTCAAGGGGCCTAGGGCTACTGGGAACCTGGCCAGCGGAGGTGCAAAGAGAAGAGTTCTGAATTATGTTGCTCAAAGTCGGACGCTGGCAGGGGTCTCCTGGTCTTGGGTCAGCTTTATGTTAGATGGAAAGGCCCCCTGACCGCTCCCTACCTGGCCCTCCACCCCCGAGCCCAGTGGTCGGATTCCTCACTGGAGACCAGAGATCTCCCTGTCCTGGTGGAGGGGATGTCCCAGCATCCTGCCCACAGTGTTAGGGACCAAGTCCGGCCCCTTTGAGAGAGCTGCGTGACTGTGGGAGTGGCCTTGCGTCCCTGGGCCTTGGTTTCCACATTTTGTTAAAAGTGGAACAGTGGGGCTTCTCTTGTGGTCCAGTGATTAAGAGTCCGCCTTGCAATGCAGAGGACACAGGTTCGATCCCTGGTCCGGGAAGATCCCACTTGCCACTGGGCAACTAAGACTGTGCTCCACAACTACTGAGCCCATGCTTGAGAGTTGGGGCTCTACAACAAGAGAAGCCTCCACTCACTGCAACCAGAGAAAGTCTGTGTGCAGCCAGGAAGACCTATCACAGCCAAAAATAAAATTAATTAAATTTAAGAAAGAAAAAAGACAGTGGAATGGCGCCATTATCTTGAGGGACCATGGTGAGGATGAAATGAAGATTGATATGGAGCCTTGCTCTTAACTCATTGGCTCCCTGGCTTCCTTCCCAAATTGGTCCACAGGCAGGCAAGGCAGGTCTATCTGAAGTTGAGCCGGAGGGTCCAGGAAAGCAGGCCTGGGGTCTCTGAAGAGCACTGCACTTGCAGCCTTCTCTGGATTCCCCTCTCTGCACAGTTCCCGTGGCTGTGTGACTCTGGGCAGGGTACTCAACCCCTCTGTGCTTCAGCGTCCTCACCAGGTAAATCACAGATGTATGAGTGGCTGGTTGTTTTTTTTTTTTTTTTTTTCCTTTTTAGGGTGAAATGTGGAGGATGGTAAGAGTCTCTCCGCAGGGTGACTGTAGTCTTGGGGTGAGGGGCTCTGCACTGGAGGTGACACACCCAGGCACAGCATGAAGTGTCCAGGGTCTGCCTTCTTGCTTTCTGGGAGGACTCCCTGGCGGCTGAGAGGGACTGGCCCAGCCTGTGTTTTCCTCCAGGGCCTGGGGTGATAGCACCGAAGCCCACATGCTCTGGCCTGGCTTGGCCATTGGAGTGGGAAGGGGCTCAGTACTGCCTTGCTTGAAGTGAACCCACTGAACAGAAAATTCCCAGGGGTCCTGAAAGGCAAATTTTAGAGTGCTCCCTCACTCTCCGAGAGGATCTTCATCATTTTGAAAAGTTCCCCAATCAGATTCCATTAACAGGACCGACCCCTTCCCTGCACGGTCGCGGGGTGGGGGAAGTCTTGCAAGGTGGGGACTGTGGAGCTAAGTTACAGGAGGAGCATGGGGTTCAGGGTGTGAAGTGGAGGCGCTGGGGCCTGGCTGGACCATAACTTCAGTGACGGTGGGGACCCACCTGCTCTTAGGTACCCACACTGGCAAGGCACACAATAGGTGCTCAGTAAAAGTTTGGGAGTGAAGAGCCAAAGGAAGTCAGGTCCGAATAACTCATGACTTTTCCCACTTGGGCTTGATGAACCTGAGGAAGTGGTTGTGGCCCCCTACTCCAGGCCTGGGAGTAAGGGCAGGGTGTGGACAGAGCCGGGCGGGCCCCTCCAGCGCCGTCCTGGGGTCCCGGAGCGGGCAGTCGCCAGGGAGCCTTGTTGTGCGCACATGTGGCCACGAGAGGTCGCGCCGTACCGTCAGCCGCCGTGAATCCAGCCTCCCAGAGGACCCCTAGCGGTGGAGAAAGGAGCTCGCCTTGCAGAAAGCAGGATGCGTTCGCAGCAGGGCTGGAGAATGACCATCTGGAGAGTTAGCTGAGAGACACTGTGAAAGGGATCCTTGGGGCACAGAGGAGGAATTGGGTCCAGAGGGGGGTGGCTTGTCCCGGGGACACACGGCTAGTCCACGGCCATGCCCAGAGGACCCCTCCCAGGTCCTCATCTCATGGATTTGAAAAGGGCCTCCTGTTGGGCCACTTTGTCTGGGTTCCCCCAGACTTCTGGACTGCAAGGTGGAGATGGGGGTCAGGAAGGGCAGGGCTGGTGGGCAGGGAGGATGGGGGTGGCCATGGGGTGCACTTGGCTTATCCAAGGCCACTACCCTCTTGGTAGCCATCTCCTCCTTCAGGGCAGGTTCAGCCAGTCACGCTGCGGGCACAACTCTTCTCCATTGATGTGGAAGCATCACCAAATGAGGCAGGTGCCCCAGGGGCTCTGGCTTGGCTCTTGCTGACCCTGGAAGCCCATGCCCGAGGGGCAGGCCTGGCCCTGGGCGCCCAGGCAGTGGGTCCTGCTGAGAGGCAGAGAGGCCAGGCCATGCTGGGCCTTGCAGGCCAGGTGAGGAGCTGGGTTTTTCCTGGGCCATTGGGAAATCTATCAGGTGGCAGTTAAACCGGGAAGCACGTGGCCCTTCTAGTTAAGTTCAGTTGCTCAGTCATGTCCAACTCTTTGTGACCCCAAGGACTGCAGCACGCCAGGCTTCTCTGTCCATCACCAACACCTGGAGCCTACTCAAAGCCATGTCCATCGAGTCGGTGATGCCATCCAACCATCTCATCCTCTGTCGTCCCCTTCTCCTCCCATCTTCAATCTTTCCCAGCATCAGGGTCTTTTCCAGTGAGTCCATTCTTCTCATCAGGTGGCCAAAGCCTTGGAGCTTCAGCATCAGTCCTTTCAATGAACACTCAGGACTGATCTCCTTTAGGATGGACTGACTGGATCTCCTTGCAGTCCAAGGAACTCTCAAGAGTCTTCTCCAACACCACAGTTCAAAAGCATCAATTCTTCTGCGCTCAGCTTTGTTTATAGTCCAACTCTCACATCCATACATGACCACTGGAAAAACCATAGCTTTGACTAGACGGACTTTTGTTGGCAAAGTAATGTCTCTGTTTTTTAATATGCTGTCTAGGTTGGTCTGAGTTAGTAAGATGTGGGTGGGGTGCTGGGTTAGGAGGCTGTGGTCACCTGCACTTACGACACGGCTCACAGCTCAGCTCACACTGACGCCAGGGGAGGTGACTGGCCCTCTCTGGCTGTCTCCTCTCAGCCCTCCAGGCCGGGAGAGGAGGCCTTTCTCCTGGCTCTCTGGCATCACAATCCTGCCAGACACCCTCCCTGGCTCCCCACAGCTGGTCCAATGGCAGGTGGACATCTCCCCCAGCCTTGTCCTCAGCTCTGCCCACTCCCACCCACAGTGACTTCAGCTGCAGTGCTCTGACCCCTCCTCATCTCCCTGGGGCCTGCAGAAATCCCTTCTGGGCCCAGTTCAAATATCACCTCCTCTGAGAGGAACTCCTGGCCAGTGAGGGCATCGAGGCCTCACCCTGGCACCCCCATCCCATGGGAGTTCTGTGGGGTTGTCGGCCAAGGTCCAGGGGGTGGAGCCGCCTCAATGCAGGGACTGGCCCAGCGGCAGGTATATCATCCAGCGAGAGGGGTGTTGGGAGAGAGGACAAGGGGGTCCAGGGAGGCTGAGCCTCACTCTTGAGTCCCCGAACTCGAGTTAACATTCTCAATTGTTGGTCAGCGAACTTCTAGGTGTGACACAGAAGAGCTTGTCCTGCCCCAGCGCTGACGTGGCCGTGTACACGGGCTGGGCAGAGGACTCGCCCCGTTTGCCCTGGCCCGGCTGCTGGGCTGTGGCCCCAGTCTCTGTAGGACAGCACCCCTTTCTCCACGGATCCCTTGCCACCCTTGAAATCCTACGACTCCTGAAGCCCCCGTGGCTTCAGGTCAAGCTGCGTGGGTGGGGGGGTGGGTCGGGCATGGGCTGCCCTGGCTGTGACAAGGCCACCTACAGGGGCCCGAGAGGAGGGGGCAACCAGGAGTAGCAGCAGGACCACCGAGAGGTGTCCCAGGAGCTGGAGGTGGTACCATGGCCGCTATTCAAACAGGTGCAAGGCCAGGGAGCTGGGCCGCACAGGATAGTCAGAGGTGGCACCTCCTGGACCCAGCCATGGAGGGAGGGCGTCTCCAGAGATGGAGTCCAGAGAGTGCCTAAGGCCCCGGGGAAGCCGTGGAGCCGGCCAAGGGAGGGAGCCCTGGCCGGTGGGGCGGGGCAGGGTTAGGGGCCCTGACAAGAGAAGGGGCCAAGGGGCCAAGGGGAGACAGGCTTGGGCTCTGGATTCCCCAGGAACAGAATGCTCACCCCGCCCCACTCCTGGCCCTGGGCAAACCTCCGAAGATGCGGGTCCATCATCAAGGTGGCGTTGCCCCTCCCAGCTCCACAGAGGCTCTGAGTCGGGGGTGCGGGGAGTGCAAGGACCACCCAGGCAAGAAAGGACTGAGCCACCCCTCCGCATGCATCCTTGAGGCCCTCCACCCAGCCCTGTGTCCCCAGCACTCAAGGGATCACCATGCACTGTCGCCTCCCGGGATTCAACACCATCCTGATGCAGGCTTCGCCCTGAAGCCCCAGCCTGCCCCTGCCACGTGGATGCTGTCGCCTCCTTCACTGCCCCCCACGTCCGTCCTTCCTGCCATGGAGGAGGCCCACAAAGGCCTGGCCCTGCCCGCCTCTCTGGGAGCCGTTTCTTGGCTCATCTCCCCCACCTTCCCGCTTCATCCAATGGCCTTCTTTTCTGAAAAGTGTGTCCACACCCTGACTTCTGCCTCAATTCCTTCCCCTTCTGTTGAACTCCGTGTCCACTTCCGCTGTGTCCCTTCTCTGGTCTCTGCACCCCTCCCAGGCACACCCACCCCCCACGGTCGCACATTGCACATGGAGCTGTCCCACTGGCCCCTGTGTCTGCCTAACTGCAAGCTCCCACCGTCCTGTGTCCCTGGGCCCCAGCGGAAGCAGCACAAAGAATGTGCGGAAAGGTTTTGCGGACGAGGATGAGGACATTCACTTGATAAGCATTTATGGAGCACCGGTTGTGTACACAGCCTTGTGCTAAGCCCTGTAAGTGAAAGTGAAGTCACTCAGTTGTGTCCGACTCTTTGCGACCCCATGGATTGTAGCCTACCAGGCTCCTCTGTCCAGATGGGGTTTACCAGGCAAGAATACTGGAGTGGGTTGCCATTTCCTTCTCCAGGGGATCTTCCCGACCCAGGGATCGGACGCAGGTCTCCTGCATTGTAGGCAGACGCTTTACCGTCTGAGCCACCAGGGGAGCCCTGTGAGAGGTTACTTAATGCAAGGCCCTGTGGCTCTCAGAAGAGCTCTAGACCACACAGCGTTCAAGGGGGCGGTTCTGTGCCTGCCCGGGGCAGCTGGGAGCTTTGGCGGGGGGCTCTGCCTGGAACACTCCTGAATAACCCGCCGGCTTACCTGCACTTGGCCTGCACAATGTTCTCCAGGAGCCCCTTTAGAGTTCATCTCCCCTAGACTGTGCTCCCGAGGGCAGGGACCAGAGTGGGGCCCTATTTCCTCTGCACAGGGTCTGGCATCTCCGGAGCTTATTAAATACTTGCTGAGTGATGTCTGGAAAGAGCATCAGGCCAGCAGGCAAAAGGCCAGCCTGGGGCACAGGGTCCTGGCTGATGGCTCACTAGCTAATGACGATGCTCTGGCAGAGGCTTTAATAGCAGGAGCTCAGCCCTGACCCCCTTCCTGGGGCTGCTCCATTTGCTCAATCCTCCCCGTAACCTCTGGGCTAGGAGGGCAAGGACTTCACTTCTTTTTACATCTGAAGAGAACAGGGCTTAGGAGAAGGGACTCACTCAAGGCCACCCAGCCAGCAAGTGGTGGAGCTGGTGTTGGAACTCAGGTCTGATGGCAACCCCGATGTTCTTCTTGGTGTTCTTTAGCAAGCTCTTCCAGCCTTGGGAATCAACTCGCGCTACTTCTGAGTCTTCGTATTTTCTTATTAATCAGATCAAAGCAGAGTGACTTTCTGAGTCCCAAATAAACTTTAGGTCTCCTGTGAGGGGCCTGGAAATTTGGCTGAGGGCATCAGAAATAAAGGGATGCCCCTGGTCCAGCCATCACTGTTTTTTTTTTTTTTTTGCTCATGTTCTCTGTTGCTCTGAGCTTTCTGGAGAATTTTCTACTAATTTATCACCCATCCATCCATCCATCCATCCATCCATCCATCTGTCCATCCATCTAACCATCCCTTATCCATCCATCCACCTTCCATCCATCCAACTATCCATCATCCGTCCATTCAACTATCCATAATCCATCCATCCAACCATCCCTCATCCATTCATCCATCCATCTTCCATCAATCCGACCATCCATCATCCATCCATCTCTTCATCCCTCTAACCAGCCTTATTCATTTGCTCACTAGTCACAATGCACCTCTGATACATAGCAGGTCCTATGCTAGAGAGATAAGACATAGTCTCCACCAAGTCAATAAAACATAGCCGGTGTAGATACAATGATGAGGCACAGTGGGGACACAAAGTGACCTGGAGTGTCCAGGGGCTGCAGTTGGGGGAGGCCTCCCAGAGGAGCTGGCAGCACCCTTCCCACGTGTCTGAGGCTACTGGTGTGTAGAGGAAAAACCTCTGCCCCAGGCCAGCCCCCATCCCAGCACATCCCAAGTTCTCTATGCGGCCATCTCCTCACTGTTGGGGCAGAGACCGTAATAGAATCTGCCTGGCTCACTTCCCTGGGCCATTCTGAAGCTCGAAGGACAGACAGGCTTGGAGAGTGCTCGGCAACAGCAGAGTCCTCACAAGTTCCTGATATCGGGACAGTCCTTCCCAGCTCAGGGTGGAAGGACAGCATCTGGTCCCGCCTGTTCGGGATCCTCAGTCACTGGACGTATGTGTGGTCACCCTGTGTCTCACGCTGTGACCCTGCAGAGCCCAGATGACAACAGGGCCTTGGAGGCAACTACCTACCTGGCCCACTGAGCCCTGGCTTCCAGATTCCATCTCCTAGGGGTCGCGGGGGCTCCCCAGACTGGTCCTGACCCCAATTCCTGATCAGCACTTCCCACCTTCAGGCATTTCCACTTTCATGACCACTATCTCTGTGGTGCCCTACCAAGGAGAAGAGGCAGGGCAGGAGCAGGAAACCCTATTTTGCAGGTGAGAAAACCCTATTTTGCAGCCGAGAAGCCAAGTGGCTGTCCCGTGGCGTGCAGACCTTGGAGAGCTGGGCTCTGGTGCCCTGTGGGCCTGCGGTGAATTCTGGTCGCGTGACCTGGAGCTTAACCTCTCTGGGCCTTGATGCCTCATCTGTAAAAGGAGTGATGACAGTATCTCCTCACAGGGTGGACGTTCGAACTACAGGAGACAGTTTGGAAAATGCTTCCCAGGTGGCGCTAATGGTAAAGAACCTGCTTGCCAATGCAGGAGACATAAGGGACACAGGTTTGATCCCTGGGTCGGGAAGATCCCCTGGAGGAGGAATTGGCAACCCACTCTGGTATTCGTGCCCAGAGAATTCCATGGACAGAGGAGCCTGGCGGGGTACAGTCCATAGGGTTGCAAAGAGTTGGACACTAGAAAGCAACTTAGCACGTACACGATAGTATCTCTTCACAGGGTGGACATACCAACTAAATGGGACAGTTTGGAAAATGCTTAGGGCAGTGCCTGGCACGCTTCGGACCCAGAATAGTTTGGAAATATTATGAGTACTAATTCAGATCCTCTACCTCCTAAACTTGCTCCCTTTCTACCCCGCCCCCGCCCCGCCTTCCTAAGGATTGAAGACAGCAGCTGGCAGTGGGAGGCGGTTACTTTAAATATGAGATGGGGAGAACAAAAGGAAAATAGAACAGGGTGGTGGCTTGTGGCTAAAATTGAACAATTCCCCTCCCAGACTTGGGGGAGGATCTGAAGGACATTATTAATGTTCCCTGCTCCTTCTTCTCAGGGAACTAACAAGCCCTGCTCCTGCAGCTGTGTCAGACCTGCTGGGGGTGGGTGAGATGCTGGCTGGGGACCCCCACCACCCCAGGGGACACCGCACGCCTGCCCCAAAGGCTCTGTTCTTGGGAGAAGCAGGAAGTAGGTTAAGCGGGACCCTGGAGCCTCTCTGCATCACTTCCGAGACAGCATTAAATATTCACCAGATTTCTCCATGGGCCCACTGCCAGCTTCAAAGGCAGCCCTCTCGCCCCCTTGGCAGCGTGCCCACCGTCTTGATTGCCCTGCTGGGGCCCTGCTACCCAGCCCCTGCCCTTCATCTGCTCACACTGACTGCCTTGGTGCCCCTTGCCCCGCTCCCACCCCCAATCCTGGGGAGGCCTGTGCTTCTAGGCTCTGTGCAGGTCCTGGCGGAGGGGACCAGTGTTCGGTTCTCTCATCTGGCCAGCACTCGCTGCCCTCCCAGGCAGAAGGCCGGGGCCCCGAGGGTGGGGGGCCTATGATGTGGCCCCCCAGATGTGTCCAGAAAATGCTGGACTTCCCCTACGCTGAGCCGACAGAGGGGACTGAGGTGTCTGGCGAGTCCCTGCTGCCCACACATGGATGGCACCAGAGGGGCCTGGGCTGATGGTGGTGGCAGGGCTGTGGTCACTGAGTGTCTGGGGCTGTGGCAGTCTGAACAGAGGGAGGTGGGGGTGGATGGCCGGCGGGAGACAGCGGCTGGATGGAGGTGTCAACATGCTGTGGGACCCCAGCTCTCTACGGGGCAGGAGGTAAAGAAAGTGGGCCTGGGAACTCAGCTGGTGCCCCGATGAGCAGGGCTGGTGAGGCCAGCAGGCGGGGGTCTGGGTCCCAGCTGGAGCTGCTTCCTAGCTGGACCCAAGCAAGATCTCACCCCCACCCAGCCTCAGTTTCTTCATCTGTAAATGGGGACAGTGATGACCATCTTGGAGGTCTGTTGAGGATACAGGACACCACGTCATAGGGAGCGAGCCTAAGCACTTCCCAAGTGGGGGACACTGAGCGGCTAGAGTCTCCTCGTCCTCAACCTCTTCCTCCCTCCGCCCTCTTGGGAACTCCACTCGCACATCCGCCACCACTCCCAACATCCATCTCGGCGGCTCCCTCGGGCACGGCTGCTCTGCACATGCTGGCCCCCCTCACCTGAGGCTGCCCTCCCCAGGTATCCCCCCTCCCCACCTCATCCCTCCCCTGGGGGAGCCACAGCCTAGTTCAATGCCACCTCCTCTGTGACACCTTCCCCAGCGCCCCGGGGGCAGTGACAGCGCCTCCTCCCCTGAACCCCGCCCGCCCTCTCCCTCTAGCAGATGACGGATGGGTAAGTGCATCCCGCTTTTCCATCCCTGGCCTGCCTTCCTCAATGGACTGCCGGCCGCCTGCTGCCAAGGCTGGGGTGTCCCGGTGTGTCGCTCCATGGTCACGACCCTCTCCTTTTCAGTCCTGTCAGCAAATGCTTATTGAATCTCTGGCCGTGAGCGGGGTGGGGCTGGGAGGATGGTCAGGGTGACCACGGCTGGCATTGGTCCCAGCGGGGAGAGAAGGAAAGCCACCGAGGTCAGCAGCATCGTGCTGACTTTCCACCCTGCCTTGGGGCAGCTGGGTGTCAGATGGGTTCCCATCTTCAAGGTGGGGAGACAGCAGCACCCCCAAGGACACAGTGTGCATGGGGGGGGCACCATCTGCTCCGGGGGCAGGCCTGAGGCTCGCAGCAACCTCAGGAGCTGCTGCGTTTCATCCCCATTTTACAGACAAAGCCACTGAGGCTAGTGAGGTTAGGAAGAGCAGGGCTGGGCCGGAGTCAGGCCTGTGGGCCTCAGAGCCCACACTCCCCGGATGCCACCCTACCACTTGGGATTCGGGCTGAGCCTGGCTTACTTCGTGGCACCTACGTGTGGCAGATTAGAGGTGAGAACAGCTGCCAAGGCAGCACTTAATAAACTGTAGCTATTCCAGGCCTCAGCGCCCACCTCCTTGTATTCCCATCTGCACGCCTTGCCAACCGCCCCCCACAGCACCTGGTGTGGCCCAGGGCTCGGATCAGCG